AGCGTTTGAAATGACTCACATAAAAAAATCAAAAGAGAGCCCTTACTGCCTTAAACCTCTACTAAGAAGTGAAGGGTGTAAAGTCAGCGCAATTCATAGAGCCACAATTACCACATTTATGGGAAATAAACCGTAGTTATCCTTTGAAGCTGTGAGGCTGCAGGAGCAGAGAGGATTGGTGATCAATCTGTGTTGATCTTACGTGCCTTGTGGTAAACCATAAACCACAATACAATTGGAAAGGAAACATAAACCAGCGCACAGGCTAAAACATGCTGTCAAAAGCAATAAGATGAATGTGAATTTGTAAAGGTTGCCTTATCTCCTACATTAGCTCAAAGAGAAATAAGACCACTTGGCTGTCACCTTAAGTACCTCCTGAGAGCAGAATTGACATAACCCTGCACTGCAATTGTCAATCTGCAGACCATCACTCAAGGTGCCGATGGATGAGGACCTACAGAGGAAATTACATCTTTATCTAATCTGACGAAGCTACTCACACCGCACCCACCTGCTACTGTTTTTATCCCGTTATCTCAACAAACCAGAAGTCTGCTCCACATGGATTTTGGGCTGAGTGAATATTTTGTCCTGGTGAGCTTGTGCGTCTATGGGCTACTTTTGGCCCTGTCAAGATAATCACGTTGTATCCTCTGTGTGACATGAGGACAGGATAGTTCCTCATCCACCTCAGCTGAGGAGCTGAAACCTAATGCTGTGATAGCGTGTGAGGACAGAATAGTAATATTCAAGCGAATGTTTTTGATGGCAAGATGAGTGGGAGTTGAAGAGGAATACTGATAAGCTTGCCTTAAGAGCTAAAATTTGCTGCTCTCATGGGAGTAATGGAATATATATTTTGTGAAGCTCACTTGGAGGTTAAAGTTGTGTGAGTATGACACAAAGGTCCTGCTCATTTCTCATAATGCTGCACATGAGTATCACATCAGGGAGGCTGAGATTCTCTGGTTTCTTGCTTCGATAGACGCTTGTTCATGAGCAGAGACAAAGAAAGAGCTACAAGGGCACATTCATAACATGTCAATTGGTAATTTCCTCCTCCTGAGACGTGCTCTGTCCTTGCGACATCTCAAAGCTGGCAATATATCCTCATCACACATTTGAATAAACAAACTAAACCCAAAGGCAGCCAAGACGTCTGGCTCCCACACCGCGCATGAACAGCACGGGTTAAACCAACACAAAAGGAAGGCAAACAGGCTCTAATGGATACAAATACCAAGCAGCGAAGCATTAATGGTTACAAGCTTGTTTACTGAACCCCTTGACAAAAACACGACAGCAGCTCCGCATACATAATCACACACTGGGCGGGAGTTAAGATCAATGAACCAGCATTCAATTATGCTTTCAGATTTTCAATGAATAAGACGCAGAACACCACAACAAGGGGACAGGTGAACAAAGAGACATTACCAACAACTCTGGCCTTCTGTTGAATGTAAAATAAGTTACATACATGTCAAAAATGTAATGTTAGCCCATATTAAGCATTTCAAATATATTTCAATCGAATATTTGCCACAAAAAGGTTCAAAATTAGATCTGTACAGAAACTAGAAGAGGCTTTCCAGCTACTGGTGAGGAGAGCTACAAGGCTGCTGTGACTATAGGCAGTCTGCAGTAACCCAGAGTTTCCACTCGATTTCATTTACACTCTTCTCTTGCACCGTTTCTTTAGCATGAGCATTTCAACATGTTCTGTGTATGTTTCCCTGGGTCAGTTAGGTAGAAATCATCCACCTACAGCTTATAACCTGCTGATGTTATGACCTATGCCCTTAAATTTGCCAGCAAGACAGTTTTCTTGACTTTAGACATTGATATCTCCACAATGGCTTAATTGATTTTTACCATTCAAACTGCATTTGACACGTCCATCTCCCTTTGAACTGTGAAGATAGCCCTCTCCTACATGAGCACTTGTTTTAACAGTGCATCATCCCCCTCTTTCCTATGTTTTGACAACTCTCAACTAAAATCGGAAATACCTTTAAAAATCTCTTTCAAGAACCTCAGAGTGGAGCACAAATGAAAAACAATGCATTGGGTAGGATCTGAATGAAGTACGACTCAACCGATATACAGTGAAAAGGAGGAAACAGATGTGGAAGCTGAAGATTAGATTCATGTGCAGCGCTGCTCTCAGCCTGGTGATTATGGCTCCACCACTGACTACCTCTCTCGTAATTCACCTTCACGCAGCAGAAACCGCTGAACCAAGGTCTTGTTCAGATGATCAATTGATAGTTTCCACACATGTATCCATGCATACTCTAAACTTTAGAGTCTAAACTTTGGACTATTTAGGCTTGACAACAAATGATAATGGGCTGCCTGGCAGTTCAGTGTCCTGAACAGGTTATCATTTTGGCATATGGTCAAGGGCAGTGATGAAGCCATAATGAGGGATTACTTAAAGGTAAAAGAAAGCTTCTTCAGTGCAGCCATACAGCGCTGGGACAAATTTAGACACAGTGACAGGTCTAAGCTACTGTATAATAGAATCTAGTTATAGACCCAGGCTGGGATAATATTATGGTGGCTACACCGCGACTAAAAGCTTAATTTATCATCAGTATTTTTTTGTGATGAGTCGTGGTCATGCTGTGGAGATATAAATAATTCTGTACTAATGTGTTCTAATTCAATCTCTGTGAGAAACACAAACTGTCAGGCGTTAGAAAGCCAAACACAGTAACACACTATGGACAGTGTGCTGGTGTGTGTGCGCCAGTGCTGGCCCCAAGTCTCATCCTCCATTGCCCATATGACACCAAGTGGCCTGCTGGCAACAGCGGGACCTTTAACACACTGCGGCCTAGAAATAAAAAAAGATTTGTGTCCCTGGCACTCTGCTGCACACAAGTGTATATGATGGACTTAGTATAGTTCTCTAACCCCCTGCATGTCTAAGCTTGTGGTTGCCAAACAAAGTTGGCAACACAGAAATGTAAACTGTTCCTACTTTTGCACTTGTTGTACGTTATTCTGGTTAATAAAATATAGATACCACACCACTGTTCCATGGTTTGTGCGTGTAGCTTTGCACTCCAGTCAAAGACACGGCTAGACTGGGTTCAACATGATGGACTCTATGTGTGTTTGAGAATGAGGAGACATGGCCTAGTTTGGATGTGCACTGCTCCCCAGGGGGTTCCATTTTGTGCGACTCAATCCTCCGGACCTTTTACTGAGGAATGAAGGAGCAACCGAGTAAAGTCCTAATCCTCACCCTTGAACCATCTGCTGGGGGGGTGGTGGTGGTGGTGGTGGGGGGGGGGGGGATGTGCAGATTGACGTGAACCCCAGCAAAAGAGCAGCTACTATAAAAAAAAAAAATCTGACTCCTGCTATTTGCAAACAAAATGCAGATCTCTAATTAAATCACAACACATTATTTACACTGCAAGGCTTGTAAATCAGGCCATTGGTTTATGCAAAGCCCGAGACACTGCACCAGGGAGTGCTGGGATTTTTAAAGCTAAAATCCAACCTAAAGACGCAAACCCACAAACACCATATGTCACCTTCAGTCTCGGTCATTGACCTGAGACTGAGAATGCAAAACCACTTAGGGTGCAGCTTAAGCATTTTCTGTCTTCCTGCATTTGTTGTCATTCATACAAGTGAAGAGCACATTCGGTGTCACACTTTTGCATCTAACACAGATCCGTGTCAAAAAGCAATACCTTATTTACTGATACAAACACACACGATATTGTATCAAAATACGCTGTTGATTAGAGACATATTAAGTGAAAATATGCGTTATAAATGATAGAAATTGCTTATTATGAAAACAGTGACACATTACCTACACACCCATAATGTTCCCATTATCCACAATAACATACTGTCTTTAAAACCCTGTTCCACCTTTGGAGAGAGACTTATCACATTCTGCAGTTTTATACTTTGGCAGACAACATGACTGCATAGGCTAAAGGTTGGATGATCTTTCCCAATAGTCCTCAGTCTCGATCAGAGGATTCCAACATGATTTTTAACTGATAAGGAATTCACCTGGGGGTCAGCACTAGAGGAACATGTATGTGGGACTGATGATTTAGACCAGACACATCGCTCTGTTATCTCCCAACCTACAGTGGAAGCCCTGTATTAAATTCATGACACTTATTACCTCTTTCATCAGATGGAAGGGGTCTGGGACGATGATGCTGGCTTATAGGGTGAGTGATTATGTTATCATCCTGATTGCAGCTGGTGTGGATATACCACATGTCACCTAGCTTGTCAGAACATAGAAATTCACTACAAGTGAATTAATATCTGTATTTGAGAGGGTAAGGAGGACGTGTGTACTCGGTGAGGGGTTGCACATAATCGCTCTTCTCCTCCAAAGGAAAACCTAAATGGCAGTGTTGGTTATACACACATGGTGACACATGGTGGTGGGTGCAAGAGAACCTATAGGTGGAGGACTCCTGCAGGACGCCAGGCTTACCATGACTGCAATGCCTCTTGATAGGTTGTGTGACACTGTATCTATCCCAACCGAGTGGGCATGAATCAAACACAACCGCCTGCTGAGCCAATGCAACCATTTTAATTGTATCCACAACTGCCTGCGGCATTTCTTCAATGGAAAGTGAGTAACTGCGGCCTAAGCTGTGGTCTCCTGCACGATAATAGCGGCGTTAAACTTGCATGGCTTATTGGAAGTTTGCCTCGCAGGTACAAGCCTATGGCTGAATGGTCTGTCGGAGGCTGCTCGCGAAGGCACTGCTGCGTTTTGCAAAACCCATTTCAGAACCGCCAGCAGATTCCCCGTTGGGACACATAACCATATATACTCCTACTTAATCGCTTCTTCTACCTGGGTGACCGAATCCACCCATGCAAACTTCCGAGCTGCAAATCCACTCTCGTCTGTGTAATCTGTGGCTTCAACACAGTGTGGGGAAAAAACCCCGGCACGCAACGAATGAGAACAAGAAGCGATGCAAACTTACGTGAAGACGAAAAATAAAGTGGTCGATCCCACAAGGAGTGTGGCAGCAGTGGACACTGGGATGTATTTGGTGGGTTTAAATCTCTTTCCAGCGCTGTTGGGCATTCTGTAATTTCCACATTCCTCTATTATTTATTCCGATTGGAGTCGCATGTAGAAGAAAAAAAAGATCCAATATATAGGCCTCTCTGTGGCTTTTTAAAGGTACCTCTTTGCTATCGTTGAAGCCGCATAGATCCTAAGATAGAGAGGCAGGAATACACAGCGCTCACTCACTGGAAGCCTGGAAATCCCACCCTTACAATCCAGCCCACTGGTGAGGTCACTGAACCGCTTGAAAAGGTGGAGCCTCCGTGCATCTGCGCGATTTTATTTGTCACCCGGACGTCTCGCAAATGAGAATAATTAGTCTCACAAATGCTCACCGACTCGATCAATATTGATGAATATTAGATGAATGGAAAATCAAAATGTCTCTCACAGCTGAAGAAGACTAGTCCAATGTTAGCTCTGGTCCTGACAGGCAGCGGTCTCTGGGACAGAGAAACACCAAACTTCACTTAGAATCTTGCAGTTGGATGTGTGTTTGAGCGTGCACACATGGACAAACCAGGCATAGTTGCTTTTACAGAAAGTCCACTTCCATTCTTAAATTCGCTATGATTATTGTATAGCAACAGGCATCAATTCAAGTGTAACTTAAGTTGCTAAAATGTCTTTACCCATACCCACCAGTCCTCAAGAGAGTTGAAATGTTACTGTAATTTGGTTAAATTTGTGCGGCTCTACATTGTAAACCAGTGTCTCATAAGCTCATTAGTTTGGCCCCACTGAAATGCTGCATGTTGAATGGATTTTACACAGTGGCGCTACAATAGAGAGTAGCGAGAGAATAATAATCAGGGCAACTCCAGCTGTAGTTACTACTGTGGATTTAGGGATTACAGCGCTCTCAAGCGGCACATGTTGGGATCTGTGCACAATTGCAAACGCCGGGTGCGGGGGTGAGGAGCGGAAGTCGTCATCGTTGCGGAAGAAGGGAAGCGGAAATGATGGGAGCATGGGGGAGGAGAGACAGTGGTCCAAACCCAATGTCCCCCCCCTTAAAATGGGGGATTTCTGACTCCTGTTTTTTGATGGTCTCTTGGCTCTTTTTGTTTTCAGCTGTGGTCTATAGAGCCAATACCCCAATGCGAGAACCATAAAATATCAATTTTTTCACCAGTCCTGATATGCATGCCAAATTTGGTACGTTTTTGAGCATGATAAAGCCCCTAAAAAGCCTATTAATTTGGCAGAAGAAGAAGAAACTGCCGTTTCAACAGGGCCTTCGCTGGACCTAAAATGTGACAAATCGGACACTGTAGGAGTTAACTTGCTCCAGCAGAGGGCACTAAATGTAACACTGAGGATGCCAGCTGCCGTTAAACCGCCAAGAAGAAGAAGAAAGCTCGGGCGAGTCACCGTAATGTTTGGAGGAAACTGCTGCCTTTATTAGCTTGCTATCTCTGGTGCGAACGCTAATTTTAGTTCCCAGCTAACAGCCACCGCCCGGGTACATGTCGTGGCACAGAACGCGTGTTTTGTACCCCTTGATGGAGTTGGGATTAATAGTCAAACGCCGTTGAGTAACTAGGAAGCCATACATTTGTAATAGCGTTAGCGTTAACACCCTCGTAACGGTAAACCCGTTAAGCTCGGCTAACGTTAATTAGCTAGCAGTAGTTTGCTTCTCCAGGATGTCGTACAGGAAAACTTTAAAACTAATTTGTGGGTTCGCCGGAGGCTCTGCCGTGCTAGTGTTCGCCGCCGCCGCCGCTGACTCCCGCGGATACTTCGGCGAGCAGCGGGGAGGAGAGGCGGCCGGTCGGTGGTCGAGATTGACCGTCCTGCGAGCGGCGCAGCCGGCGTGGACACCTGCCAGCCACACACCAGCACCGACTGGACACGCGTGGGACTTTAACTGGGATAAGTACGTGCCTTCACGCGCGCTGTTTGGTTATTTGATCCCCCCCCCCCAATTGTCGTCCTACCACTTTATACGGAGTATACACCACGCCAAATCTCTGTCAAATAAGGATCAATTTAATAGCTGGCTATCCACCACGGTGACATTTAGGTTGAAATAGCTAAACAATTTAGTTTAGCTTAGTGTTTTTTAAAAACAAGAGGTTCAGAGGTTCTATTATACTGATCCTCATCTTAAATCATTTTGTGTTAACCCAGTTGTCCACCCCTCAAGTTAATTGAGACAGACAAAGCCACCTAATCTCAAGATCACCTGATCTCACCCTTTGTTCAGGAGAGACCCATCTGCACTGACCAATGGGAAGAAGACTTCGACCGCTCCAGCAACTGAAGACCCCAGCTCGGAGCAGGACACCAGTAAACCAAAAGCTACCCGCAACATCCTCCTCATCAGGCACTCCCAGTACAACCTGAGCGGCTCCATCGACAAGGAGAGGATCCTCACTCCGTTAGGTACCCGTTTCCACCCAAGTCACCCTGGAAAGCTGAATAGGCAGCAGTCTGGGAACCAGCTTCAATGAGTGTTGAGCGTATACATACATGCAACTGTACCACCCTGACAGCAGAACAATCCCTTTGCCTGCCGATTGTCCGACCCACATTTTGTTTTAACGGCCGTCGTGTCTCCATTTCCAGGTCGTGAGCAGGCGGAGTTCACGGGCCAGCGGTTGGCAGCGTTGGGACTCAAGTATGATGTGATGATCCACTCCAGCATGGCCCGGGCCACAGAGACGGCCAATATTATCAGCAAACACCTCTCAGGTAGTGGATAGATGCCACACTTCCTTTTTAGAGCTGCACTGATCAATACCAGTAATCCCAAATTAAGGTTCATGGTACTGATGTAATGTTACTATCGTCATACATATTGTTATATTTGTGGTTCTTAAAAGCCGTCATAGCTAAACTATTTACCGTATACTTTACCTTGTAGTGATTTATTAGTTCTCATTTTGTCTTACGCTGTCAATGATACTTCAATATATTTCTGCTTGACACATGTTTCAAGTTGTTTGGTAATACATACCACTGTGGATACATTATTCATATCATGTTTATCATTGTGAAATGCACCTGCTTTAAATGCTGAAATGTATATTAACATTTTTCCCTGCCCTGAATGTCGTACGGGTCCAGGAGTGGAGCTCGTGAGCTGTGATCTGCTGAGGGAGGGGGCACCCATCGAGCCCGTTCCACCCGTCACTCACTGGAAGCCCGATGCTGTGGTGAGAGAAGATGCATGCCCTCTACCTCTAGAGCAGGTCGTAGGCCTGCGTTTCTATATTTACACATCCTTGTTTAGGTATCTCTCTGCTGCCTGTGTGTCTGTGCAGGTGTCCTGTGAAGTGTTTGTTAAAAAAAATCAGCCAATCCATCAGTGCGCTGCCACAGGAATGTGTCGTAGGAAGAGTTCATTTCCAAAATATAAAGACATAGTTGGACTGTATTTCAATCCTACAAATAACCCACGTAAACAGCGTCTGCCCTCAGTGATTCAGTGCTGATTTTGCTTTAGTAGAAGTAACATTTTCCATATAGTTGGCCTCATTTTGGAACCAAACTCTTCATACATTCCCTACGATGCACAGCAGCCTCATCGATTGACTCTGCTCTGACTGAGGGGTTCAAACGGAACCCTTTCATTTGACAAAGCAGGCTTTCAACCTCTCTACCAATCCTCCAGCAGTACCACGAAGATGGAGCTCGCATTGAGGCAGCCTTCCGCCGCTACATCCACCGGGCTGACCCCAAGCAGAAGGAGGACAGCTACGAGATCATCGTGTGTCATGCCAATGTCATCCGCTATTTCGTCTGCAGGTTTGTGTCTCCTACAAGATCAAACTCTTTGTTAAATATGCGCCGTGTAAATATAAAGTAGCTCCAGTGCTCACATCTTTCTTTTGTTCTCTCAGGGCTCTACAGTTTCCTCCAGAGGGATGGTTACGTATGGGCCTGAATAACGGCAGCATCACATGGCTCACCATTCGACCGAGCGGCAGGGTGGCCCTCAGAACTCTGGGAGACGCAGGATTCATGCCCCCGGACAAACTAACACGGACCTGACGGCCCAACGCACGGCAGTGTTTCTGGGACTCCGATGCCTGGTCAGGTGGTTTGCAGGGTCAAAGCTCAGTTTTCTCCTTAAGTGTCTTGAAAATTACTTTTGATGTTCTTATTCTGTAATTGAACTACTATCATCTAATGAGACTCTGTGGTTGCGATTACTTCCGTGCCATAGAACGCCAGCAGAAGTGATTAACAGCTGCTCCTGAATGTAACCGAGGATTTTTTCACAAGTGACAGATTTTTAAACCAAAAAAAAAGTGTTTGTATAGCTGTTGTAAATGCAAATCTTGCTCTTAGCATTTACATCTATCATTACAGTAGGCTGAAGTGTGAAGATTATTGTGTTGTATGGTGCAGCTGTAGTAAATAAAGGAAAATGATAGGTTCCTACGTTTCCGTCATTTCTTTCCTGAAATATCTCGGAAAAAGTACTTAAAACATTAATTGAGTAGGAGTGATGTTTTATTGATTAGCTGAAAGCAAATGAGGTTGAGACATACAGAAAGAATTCACCATGAAAGATAACTTTTAATAAAGCACAGAATGCTAAAAGCACAAGAAGCATGTTTTAAGTTTTTTAGGTGCATTTTTGCAAAGTTCCACATTCATAAACATTCAGAGACCAGAATTAGATCTGTTGCCACCTGAGAGCACACGGACAACAATACAATCTTCTCAGTGAAGTAGTTTGTGCTCTCGGACAAAAGGTTTAGTTCACAAAAAAATGTACATTCAGAACACTTGTTTCTCAATCTGAATATTAAACGGTTGGCTTTTTTTGTCCTAGATGTAGCTGATCAGCCCTCATACAGCAGTGAATTCATCCCGAAGTAACAATTTGGGTATAGCAGGTTTTAGTACATTCACATTCAACCATTACATGTTTTGAAAAAAATGCAAGTACCTGCCGTGTGTACATGAGTTTACTGTCAGCCAATTTGAACCATTGGAAGAGATTCATGATGTAACTTTGAGCATTAGAGCATTAGAGCTCTTTTAAGTGAAATGAACACTGTATCAAACTTTATACAGTGAAAAGGGTTGCGAATGCTGCCGATCCCACTGGGAACAGACATCCAACTCTGTGCAGCTCTCATCTAATCAGTTGGGTTCTCTGTAAGCGTAAGGCAGTTCTTTAACAAGATGTCTATAATAAGCTAATAAATACATTATTTAGTTGTGGAGTCTTTCAGCCCCCTAGTGATTTAAAAATAGCTTAATACAGCTTAAAGTTGGTCTCAGACTTGGTAATTTTAAGGTTTAGCCCAGACGAGAAATTTGAAATTTCACTTTCCAGACGACTGATTTTTATATTCTTCCTCACACTGTGGGAGATGCTTGTGCGTGAAAGACATTTCGGAGAAAAGAATACAAATTGCTCAGTCTAAGGCCGCTGGTTGTGGCAGAAAGGAAAAGTCAAGACGTGTCCAGGAACCACCGAGAAAAGATGGAAAATATATGCATTTATTGAAGAACAAAATAAAAACATGGAAGATCTCAGTCGAATCAGTTTTTCCGATGTTTGCCCTAATTCATCTGTGAATGACGCAGCCAGTGAGGTTGCTATTTCCACATGTTTCACGTAGGAGCTAGAGAGAGTGTCCGAACTGACCGAGAGCTGCTCCAACACTTCAGAAAATTAAGGCAATTCCTGAACTGAGGAAAACATAGGAAATGGCAGTCGCTTTTAACACCATTAATAAAAACATTACATTTTTGTGCTACTGACCAACATACAAAAAATAACTTTTAAAATATTGACAATTTACTTTTTTTTTTTTTTTTTTTTTAAAAGAACATCCTCTGTGACAGAATCCTGTTGAGGATTCCGCACCAATGTTTTAGTGACGAACTAACTTTGGGGAGTGCGGCTTGTATTCACAATGTTCAAAAAAGTTGACTCAGGCTATGATACAGGTGCTTCACACTTGCCACAAATAACATTACCGTCAATTCAACACGGCCCACATCCGTACAGTACATAAATTATCACGGTTTCTTTTTTTTTCCTTTTTAAAGTCTTGAGTGTACATCACAACCCAACGTGATGAGAGTTCCTGTATTACATAGGAGTAGTACCATAAATGATTAATACAAATCTTCCAGACACTTGTGCATATTCCTGTTAGGTATAGGGTTTCTGAGCCGTGGTGTAGCCACCTCGGTGCAGCTGGATTTTTAAGGGGGAAAGGGAGGTGGGGGGGGGGGAGTTAGGAATAGGAGAGGGTTATGGCCGTTGTGGGGGAGAAGAGTGGTCAGTTAGGCTCGTTCAAGTGCTTGAGGCGGATGCGCTGGATGTAGCTTGCATTGGCAGGGCTGTAACGGCTGGGGCTGAAGTCCGGCGAGGCGGCGTGCCGGCCAGGACTGAAGCGACCGGTGGGAGACATCAGGCCGCTGACCGGGGACCCAAGACTTTGGTGCTGCATCCTGAGTCGCGGTTTTACCACCGCGGGGCTGGGCCAGCTAGACGACACACATCAACACCGGTCAGTAGTTGCTTTTACAATATCGTTACTTTGCGACTAATACTGAAAGGTACAATGAGTACAGATTTGACTGTCCCACAGCATAAAACAACCACAACCTAGCTGCATCGGCTTGATTATCAAAAACACTGACTGAACAATTATTGCACCTGGTGCCGCGATTTATAGCTTCTCCAACACACTGAAACACGGCACATGTTTCGATGCCATCATCAGCAACTAAGGTGCTATGTCCTATGACTAAAACTTTCCCCTTTTTTAAAATCACATTTTGCACATGAAATAAACATTCTTTTTGCATCAAAAAAGCTTCTTTGACCTGTTTTGTCAGTGTGGAGGCATTTTTTACTGAGAGATGTCTAAATGCACCATATTTATTCTCTGGAACAACCTTAGAGAACACAGACTGGGACTAATAAAGGATTATCTAATCTTACCATGAATATCCTTTTATGATGGAGACTGTACACGTAAATAATATCACAGTCAAGAGACAAACAACAGAGGTCATGCATTCATGCCAAAATGAACTCTGAAACTGAAACAGTATTTGGCCTGTAATCTGATAATCGGACTTAATCAGCCACTGAGACCAAAATTCTCTCTTTTTAGGCCAGAGCAGCATCATGAACACACCGTATAATCAGGAAACCAATAATAGAGACTAATATTCATTGCAAATAAAACGCCTACTAACCTCTGCATGTCCGACGTCGTGTACGACTCCATTGTGCTCTTCCACTTGTGAATGCTGGGATACTTCTGGGGGTCGAGGTCTAAGCCTTCTATTGCCGACAGGACCTCTTGGTCCAACTTGGACGGTGAATCCCTGTAAAAACATTAATGAACAAGATTAATCTAAAGTCTTATTATGGTCGGAACTCAGACGTTTGGGATCATCAAACCCTTTAGCTGCCTGTCCCACTCCCCAAATAGCAGTCGAACTGGATTGTGTTGTCAGTTGGTGGAGCAGTATACTTGTCTGGCCTAGTATTAGAGAATATAGCACCCAAAACTATTAAACAAGACGCGCTACTTAAGATTATGACACATCATCTTGTGGAACATTATCCAAGACAACATCGTGGCCCTCCACAGAGACAGACTCACCCGTCAATGAAAAGTCCTCTTCTAATGTGCGGTGGGGTCCTGGGTAGGAACTCATTGGAGTTATCCAAGGACTTATAAGAGGACCCAGAGGATCCCGAGCTGCTCAGGTCCCTCCCCCCATGGTCCCACGACTTGGACCGAGCACAGAAGTTGCGCCCCCCTGATACTGACCCCCTAGTCCTGCCCAACACCTCCAGACTCTCCTCTGCTTCAAAGTACTCCTCTGAGCTGCCACTGCTGCGCCTCTCCTCTGACCCCTCCACGGTCTCACCATCCTGACTGCTGTGACCAAGAGATAGGCGGTTCAGCCCGGAGCTGAGGTCTGTGGCCAAGGAGGAGCTGTAGGAGTCCCGGACCTCCTTGTGCCGGCTCCCGCCACTGCTCCTCCGCTCCCTGCAGCTGGTGGGGCTGTCCGGCGGCTCTTGCAGAGACATGCGCTCAAACTCCGCCATGAGATTGGAGATGGGCGACAGCAGGCAGGAGGAGGACGGAGAGGTGCGAGGAGGAGCCACCTGGTCTCCATTGTGAGTCCTATCTCTGCAGGAGGAGCACACCCCGTTTTTGCAGACGATGCCGGGCGTCAGGAGGCTGTCGTCACAGCAGCACAGCAGGTCCCGCTCTGCCGCCGTCTCGATCAGGTCAGCCCCGCGGTGGTGCAGCGGGATGGGCAGGATGTGGAACTCGTGGCCGCCCACTGCTCCCTTCAGGCAGTCCTTGGCAGAGGACGTGATGCTGGTGAGCGCTGCGTTCTGCCGGTTCTTTATCTCCTCAAGGCTGATGTCATCACCCTCGTCCAGGAAGGCACCAACAGAGACGGAGTTGCAGAACTTTTTGGGCTTGCCTGCAACCAGGGACGATGAATGACCAAAACAGACTTAAAAGTTGTCATAACAGTGTAATCTTATCACATAATTCTTAATGGCAGCTTTGTCAAATATTTTCCATGTCCATTTCGTTTGATAATATGTGTATCATACAGGAGCTATATCTGAGGACAGTGATTACGCTACAATGCCAATTAACAGATCAGTCAGAGAGGGTGATCTGGAATGTGTGCAGCGCATGTTTTGTTTCAGCACTTGCAGCTTCTCTGATATGGAGCGGGTGAAGGTACCTGGAGAGGGGGTTTTGAACCTGTTGCTGGTCTCATTCTCCCCAGCCTCTTCGTGAGCACGTGGGCTGAAATCCTTCTTGCTAAGGTACTCGTCCAGCTTGCGGAGCCCGTCAGTTGAAGACAGATCCACAAAACTGCCAAGAAAGTCCCAGTACTCCGCCCATGGGTGGCCCATCTCATGAGCCAGGTCTCTGGAGATAAAGGGAGACTTATTTCGATTTAAAAAACGGGTGTTTTCATAGTGCTTTTGAACCATTTCCAGTACTAATGCGATTCAAATTTTGTTGAAACAGTTTTACAGAGGATTCGCCTGTATGCTCACTTTGGAGGGTGCAGTATGTGGTACTGTTTAATTATATTGCCCAACATGTTTGTAATCCCCCAAAAACAAAACATGTTTATTCTAACAATTCAAAAAGTATTACCTCCAGACTATTGCCTTAATACATAAAAAATGACAGCAATAAACCCAGCAGTATCCCCCTTCAGTAGTCTCACACATAGAAAGTTATATGGACAACATAAGCAGAATGAGGTTGTGGACGTACCTGCCCACTCTCTCTGCCCCACGGTCAGGATCAGACTTAAGAATGTGGTGGAAATGCTCCGCCCTGTCTCTGGGCGGTGTCTTCCAGGACCGACGGAAATCATCTGCCTACAGGAAAAAACAACATGCGCTGGTCACTGAATGTTTTTAACGGAATGCAATGATGAGACGTTGGAATTTAGAAAGCGTAGACAGGTAATCGGGTAAAGAACTTGCTTTAGAAGGACTCAGTGGGCCAGCGAAGGCTGTGACAGTCATCACGGGATCCATTGGGCTTCTTGTGTGACGCTGGGCCAGCGAGAGACTTTCTGAGGACTCAGGTGACCACAGACCACCGATGACGGGCTGAGAGGTGTTGTCGGTCGCCCTCAGCAAAGGGATAAAGCAGCGGTCTGTGAGACAACAGACAATCAAAAGTCATATATTGTTATTGAGTGTTATCAGTGGGAATCAAACCTCATCTATGCAGAACTTCATGCCAAATGCCATGCTCTCTCTCCAACTTCAGTACAGTACCAGTCTAACACTGCAATTGTCAAATTATCCAACTTTTTACTTTTTTCACAGCCCAGGCTGACTCTCAGGGGATTGAACAAAAACACACGACTTGAGCTGTAACGTTATTTGCAATACAAAATGGTTAGCAATGTATTCAATAGTACCCACAGCCAGTTATTGAAGTAACTTTCTAGCCTAATTCCTTATATCGGCCACTATGGCTAACGCAACAGATAAAAACAGGAAAAATCAACGTTGACGCACATTGCTAAATTTAAAACTATAGGATGTAACATGCTGCTTCTATTTAATCAGGCCTCTCTGTGAACACATCTACTGTGTGTACACTAAATGGCACTTCTCTGTGTCCTCCAGGAAGCAGGGAGAAGAGGAACAAAGACTTGTTTTATTTTCAGAAATGTGTGCGTGTCCTTACCCTCCAAATAGTCACTTATCTTCTGCTTCACTTCTTGGGTTTTATTTTTTCTGCTACAAATAAGCTGTGGAAGAGAAAGAACAATTAAGGATATAGAGTGTGTGCAGCTGATAACATGCAAGTGTTGATGGGTTAACCGGGGAAACAACTTGCTCATCTAATTTTAGCCTTTAACGTGCAGTGAGTGATTGTTGCCAAAATATTTAAAAAAGCAAGCTGAAAGGTCACGGCTTCAAGACCCGAGCGAGCATAACTGTACCTCCCCTCAGCAATGACTGCCAGCACACCAGTGTGCAAGGATTAGTAGCTGCTAGACAGCTTCCATATGTACACATTCATGAATACTTTCTGTGTAATAACCACCAGCAACTACAACCCAGGCTATGCTGAAGGTTCTCCTACTCAGTGGGCATGTAACCAAGTTCAATAAAGGGTTAAAAATAAAACTCCCTTACATCACACGGCTTCTGGCCATCCTTGTTCTTACAGTTCTTATCGCTGTCAGGATGCGAGCACAGCACATTTACCACGTCTGGGCACCCAAACTTACAGGCAAAGTGGAGCGGTGTTTCAAAGCCCTGGAACATACAGACAAACAATATGAACATTATTTAGAAGTAATCGAATTTAGTCTGGTTTTGTGCTGGTAGGGTTAAAGAACTTACAGCCTTATCTGGAGTGTTGAGGTAAAGATCTACAATGTAGCGGATACGTTTCTGCAGCATAACTTCCTGGTCGTCTGGATACATGAGGCGCATAAACTCGTGGTTTTCCAAGGTGTCCAGCAGCAGCTGGGCGATTCCTGCCTGGTTCTCCTTGGCTGCCACGTGCATTACGTTGTACCGGCAGCCCTCCTAACCAGAGAAAACAGTGGAACAACTGTATGGATCAGCACATAATCCTCTTTAATCTCCTGTCAACAGGAAGGAATGCATCTGACCTTTCCATCACCTGCTGAAGTTAGGGATTTAACACCCAATATTTATTGAATTTTTTTAATGACAACAGTAGGTATTTTTTTATATAATAGCAACAAATATGTTGGCTAAAAAAGACCAATTTCTAAGACTTTGAATTTTAGACAAAAAAAAGAAAAGAACATCTTGAATGCGTCTTTAAACAGATAAAAGATTCATGATACAAACGTACACTAGGTCATATTTTTGTCTTCATCTTAGCAACTGCAAGCTTGACGAGGGCATTGGCTGAAAGGTTGGCACTGATGTTCATGTATCAAACATACGACAACATTCTAAGTAATGCATCGCTATAAATAGCACACAGAGTTTGAGATATCGCAGCAGCACTACTCAGACGAGCTCAAACAACGCTGCCTCATCATTTACTACAGGTTTGATTAATTCTGTGTTTAAGAAACTGGTTCAGAAAGTTGCAATAAATATATAATCTGAGACTGAGTGCACCAAAACATCACAAGAAATTAAATCCTCACCTGCACAATTGTGGGATTGTCCCCTGAACCAATGAGATAGCGTGGGTTGTCCCAGACCAGCTTGGTAAAGGCCACCTCGTCGCCCTTCTCCACTGCTTTCCTCAGTTTGGCGGTCAGGTCTTGGGTGCGTGGGCTCTTGAAATTGTTGGCCCGCTCCCGGTTGATGGTATCAACCTCCATGTTGTCTGGAGTGGAGAGGGAGAATGAAAGTGTAGGACAGGCACTGCTGGGGAAAAACTCCAGATATTGTTCAAGGCTGGTGTGCCCCATGCATCGGTTAGCGTCAGCTACTGTTGACCTGACAAAACTTGGAAAGAATGATGGATCTCACCGCTATATTGAGTAGTCCTACCAAAAAACATCTGCTGTACACTGCTCTATCAGGCAGTAAAAGACAGACTTGTGCATGTTTGAAGGAGTGCTGGCCTTCTACGTGACCAAAAAGAGCAGCGTGCCATAACTTGATGAAACACAGATTGAGATTCTGAGAAAATATATAACAGAGTATTGATTAGGGCCTTTTTAAAAACAGAGATTTGTATCTACTTACCCTTTATGACCAGGCCCGGTTTGACAGGAGATACACATGGTGTAGATTTGTTGGGGGAGGGGAAGTAGTCACAGATCCCCTTAGCAAACTTCTCAGCATCCTCACGGTTGGGGAAGGCTTTGAAGCGGGCTCCCTTCATCGTCTTAACAGCTTGAAGGGCATCCTTCTTATCCGTGTACACGTGTGCTCTCTCTGCAGACAAATAAAACCCACTGACAATCAGATTTTATCCATTTCCACTCTTTCTACATCTTCTTTCATGTATTGCTATGTGTTACGGTGACTTTCTAACTGGTGGTTGAAGGATTTTTTTTTGCATTGTTTTGTTGTCATTTTCCCTTCTGTTCAGTCAGCCTGTAAAATCATAGCTCAAGATTCATTTAGATCGATACTCTATTCCGGAGAGTTCATGCAGTCCTACTGCCTTGCTGCTTACCACCAAAGAAATAACAATTAATGTTTTCATCCACTAAACAAATGTGGATTTCAGACAACAGCAGCAAGTACTCTAAACAAATACAGAAACTGGACAAACAGTAGATTTCACAAACAAACAAGCCACACGATAATATTTTAGACTGGACTTTGGACTCAAGTCACTATGAAGCCAAAAGTTTAACTTATCAAAGAAAACAGAGCTCTTTCCTCTCTGAATGATAAAATTCTGTCTGTGTGAAATTGTACTGGCTTTACAATTTCATACCAAGTCTAGTCATGGTTTACAAATATATTTTTTTTGGGTACTCATCTAAACTCTTTCCTTCGATTCCCAAATTCAAGATCACCTGGCAAGTGATCCTGAACTGTGATGCAATACTCTATACGCAACACTGACATATGTTGGACAAGTAACAAGCCGAGTCTGTCTTACCATTTCTAGTCAAAACATCTTCCCACAGCGGACATACTCCAAAAAAAGAGGTTGGGGACACTTCTGCCGACTTTGAAGGTGTTTCCGTTTTGCACTGAGAGTTACTGCCTTCCCCAGAGCTGTTTGAGGTTGCGTTTATGGAGATCTCATCTTCCTCTGGAGGGTTGAGACCCACACCGTAGCCGAAGTCCGGCTCTTCGCCGGACGCCGCAGCGAATTTGCCGCTTGTTGCAGCAGTGGTGGGAGCCACTGCTGATGTGGCATATGACACAGGTTTGGCATAATCTGCATTGGAGGCCGCACCGCCCAAGACACCCGCTGAAGAGCAGCTGTTGTCCGATTCAGTGGCGCCGCTCTCTGGCCCGGCCAGGACTCGAGCTAATTTCCTCTCAAAGGTGGCTCGGGTGGTAGCGGTAATAGGACCACACTTGACGCCTGCTCGGGCAAACTCCTCGCGCAGTTCATCAGCACTTAGCCCCCTGAGCCTGCTCAGAACCACCTCCATGCTTCAGCTCCCTACAACACAAAACACATTACACCTCAGCACCAGCGGTTGATGATAAACTTAATAACCACTATGTAGAGAAATGTGATACTTAGCACTCTTTTTAATGCTTTTTTCCCACTAAATAAAAGTTTAAATTACTACTCCAGCACACTTATAGAATATAAATGAATGACGAAATTCTTCCAGAATGGTTTCTTAACCACTAGTGAATGCCAATTAAAAATGTCAGTTCCAGGAAGACTATAATAAATAACAGCTCCTACTAACAAATAACAACCATACATCAAAAAAAAATAAAAATGTATACATTCCTTTAAACAGCGTGGACACAACTTCATCTAGTTTGGCCATTACTCATAAAATAATATTAGCACATGAACTAAGACAATGGTCAGATTGGTGAGAATCAAATAAATGACAAAAGCGTTCTTTGTTTAGCAAGCCATCAGCCTGCATATTAATATTAAATGCCATCCATAAAGCTGCCACACATTGTAAAATATAATACAGAATGATTTTACCAACAAGTAAATCCCTGTCCTCCAGTGTCAAATATGTGCAGGTAGGCAGCACAAATATATTACGTAGCTCTTGTCATAAAGCGAGTGCTAGTGCATTTCCAGACAACCACATTTAGAATCCAACACTTCATATCTCATCAGAACCAACCACACTACAGTGGGACTAGCATCTGCTAGCTTGCTTGCTAACCAACAAGCCCGCTTTAGCAGCCGGGGAGCATGAGCGAAGCTGCTCAGATGAAAATCTAGACTGATAAGAGTAAAGTACAACAACTTTGCGGTGAAATATCAACGATTACAAATAAATAGAAAACTGGATACATTATGACGATAATAGTCGGTTCATTCGCATGCTGTCACGCCCAAGTATGTCATTCGAGGTTAGATTTCAAGCTGTAACGCAACACATTTGGTCTTAGTGGTGAAGATGTCGATAAAAATCTAAGGTTACGTGATGACATCTGGTAACAAATGTGTCCCTATACTTACCATGGAACATTTTTATTTAATACACGCGGAGCTGAGGGATACCGTTGTTAATTTTGCACAGATAAACTGTAGACACAAAGCTGGAGACGGTCTGGAATAGTCTCATTGTTTACAACATGTTCTGCGCATGCTCAGTTTCAAGGGAGGGCGCACGCTACATTCTAGACCTGTGGGAAAACATACATTTACACAACCTGGTGGTGATAGGCACCGAATAGAAACTGAATTGTCACATTTTTCTCTAAAAAGACTAAACAGAGATCAACAAGATAATTTGCAACCGCCCTATGACACGGTCACGTTACTTTATCCCAACACAAGCAGTAACGTGCCATAACGATGTATTTTATTCTCACAAAACGGAGTTATCTTAATACCCTACTTCACTACAATCTCATGCAATTGTATGCCTGGTAGTAACAAGCATTGCGCAATGGAAATGGTTATCTGGGATATTCGCTGACCAATTATAAAAGGAACATCAGAAAGCTGCTATTAATTGTATTTCCAGGATGTCTCTTAAATGTACGATTTTCCCCCGAAGGCTTGAATGTAGCATCATACTCTCCGAGTGCAGACGTGACTAATCCAGGGAAACGATAACCTATTAAACCTAGGTTCTTCTGGTCAATAACAAATCCACCTATTTTAAACAAACGAAATAACAAATAGGTGGAAATGTAGTGCTGGTATAAACGCAATACTAAAGAACACTCGTTGGCACAATCCCCATGCAGGCCAACTTGGTTCAGGCATGTATGAGGCAAGCCAACTGCAATACATGGCGATTCTCCAGATATTCATACAAAAACCTAATTTACCAAAATAGATCTTTGTCAGTTACAAGTTGCAAGCAAAGCAAATTTGGGCGACGTTCGTTAGCTATACAATCCGCTCTAGGAAGCTGAGTTTGACAAGCATGCTAACAGTCATTAGCCAGTTAGCAAGGGGAGAAGCTAATCACCCATGCCACTGGTTAGCGATAGCATACACTATGTTGTTACTGTATTCTTGCCAAACGCATAACCTTAAACAATCATCAACCGCAAAGCACTGCTAGTTGAACATATCATTTTAATAGTGCCATGCCCACCTCCTCCTCTCTCCCCGGCTATTGTTGCTAGGTGTCTTCTTCACCGCGACGGTTTCAAAATGCAGAGGGCGAGGACCCCGGTTCCGTCTAACATAGTGCCTGATTAAAAATAACGACTTCAACGTGGGGGAAATGACATAGAATTTGGGACATATTTAAGAAGTTGTTGTAGACAGCCTATAATGAATGAGAAGAAACTATAACGACAGATGAATAGTGCAATTTTATGATAAATACAATCACATCTCCCAACACAAATGTTAAAACATAGGAATGAATCAATTTCAATCTTTGAAAGAAATAGCAGGTACAGCAACACGAGCGCACGTGCTGTAGAGCAAACGTTATTAAATACTACCTAACGTTACAGTGAAAGGTAGTTAGGAAGATACAGTCCCCACAAAAATTCAGAACACAGGATATCAATACATTTGTTATTTGCCTCAGTAGGCAGTCTCCTCAAAATATGTATTGTCCCTTTGGAAATTCATAAGCATACAATGGTGTTTAAAAAACAGTTGTTAATGTGGGAATGAACACCGACACAGCAGCTGTACGGTTGTTTGCAGAAAGCTACACTATACCATCCAATCGTCCCTCTACACTGACATTTTAGTACAGCTGGACTAGAATTACTATCGGCTTTGATTTATGGTTTGCTTTTGATATTTTGTACTTCATCTTCGTTACACTATTAAACAATGACTTTACAATCATACAAAAAAAAGTAAATTTATATATTAACCTCTAGAAACAATTAACTTATCCCCATATCCATGAAACAAGTATAACAATTTCCTATTTTTTTACCAAATGTAACAGAAAATGAACACATCTGATTGCACCTGCTATTAGAAGTAGTAACATTTCTGCTTCATCGTACAACTTTCTTTCTCCGTTGATATGACCCACATATTTTACAATAAACCATTCAGTATGGATTTGCACACACATACAATATAACATATTAAAACACCCTCAGCAGAAATATGCTCATTCAAACCAACTTAGTCCTTTACAGCATATTAACGATTGCTTAAGGCTTTTTTGCATACAAATTACTGCAGTCCATGCGAGACAAAACTCCTCCATATATAACTGAGATTAACTGTTTTTAAGTTTAGGAACCCAATGTGATATGGTTACAACAAATGTAAGAAACACTGCATTTTAAGGAGAGGCAATACCAAAAAAACAAAACTGACCACAATTGCGCATGACTTTTAACATCATGAAAAGGATTGATGGTGTTTCATCAACTGCTCAGAAATGTGGATGTGTAACCACATCAGTTAAATCATAGATGAGCAATTGCTCTCGTACACAGGCACAAAGAAATGGAAGAACAGTTATTAGCCAGTCTTGTGACAGGCTAATGGTTTGTTTCTGTCACCATAACACTTTTTGAAATAATGTCAACCATCATTAAGCAGCATACAAAGCCACTGATTTTATATTGCGAGGAGGATGATGACTAAATACATTAAGGAAAAACTGCCGACTCAAGAGGGGAAAACTTGCCTATAAGATTAGTTGAACAGTCCGTACTAGACCATATCTGTATCTATGATAACACAACTGAAGATGGGGGATCCTCTTGGAGAGGCTGTCAGATAAGTTGTGATTACTTAACTCTAAATAAATAAATGTGACAATAGCATAACAAAAATACAAACACCTGTCAAATAAAGAGGAAAAAATAAAGCAATGGCATACAAATTATTACTCTGAAACAGCACGTCTGTGCTGATGGGAGAATGCCAAATGTTGGCTGCAATTGTTAAGGAAAGACAAAGGGAATAAGGGGCTGAAAAGTGCCTTTGTGGATAAAACTCCACTCTCCCTCTTATGGCCTGAGAAAAGTTATTTTATTATGACTGCTGCTGTTCTGCTTCGTTGTTATTTTCAACAACCATATTGTTTAGCGGCGCTGACGATTCGGAGATGTTGTTTTCAAGCTCCAGTTGAGCCAGTCCCTCCTCTGTGTTTGTCCATGAGCTCATTGACTCATGTACTGTTACTGTGTGTTCCTCCATCTGCCTTTGGAGGCTGTCCATCTCCTCCCTGAGAATAGAAAACCATGACATGTATTCTTGCATTTAAATAGCTGCTAAGCACTACACAACAAAACTCGATTGGGAGCTAACCAGTGGGACACGCTCACATGCACTAAAAGCTTTCATGTCCTGCCTGCCTGCCTGCCTGCCTGCCTGCCTGCCTGCCTGCCTGCCTGCCTGCCTGCCTGCCTGCCTGCCTGCCTGCCTATCTATCTATCTATCTATCTATCTATCTATCTATATCTATATCTATATCTATATATATATATATATATGTCAGCAAAGCAAGGAGAAGCTCGGATAATAAGACACACAGAGGTAGAGCGACTTCAATCTCTGCTCAGGTAGAAATGACTCCACTATCTTTACATTTGCTGCAATATTAATGTTCAGAATATTAAATACAGCTCCTTTAACAAAGTCATTTGGTCAGAACAAGAGGCTTACTTGAGTTGCCGTAGACAGTTGTGCAGGTTGTTGAGGGGCTCTTTGTTGACAGAAGTTGATGGTTTCAGCAACTCATCCAATAGGGAGGCAGGCACTGGGCAGTCTGGAATCTTAACTGGTGTCACTGGGTTGGATGGGTTCCCCTCACTCTTCAGCTCCATACACTGCTGCTCCAAGAAAAAATTCAGGGATGTATTTAGTCTGTAATCTTCAGCAGGCATTTCTTACTTGGAATTATACTTGCAACATTTGACTTTAAAGCTTTGTAATGCATGCCTTACCTTCCTTAGACGACTCTGTTTGAGGTCCTGTTTTAGTTGCTGGTTCTGCAAAAGGACCGTCTTCATGCTGTTCCTCAGCTCTCCCACTTTGGCCTGCAGCATAAACTTGTCCTTCCTGGTGCCACTCAGCTCATCCTGCACCGACTCCAGCTCCACTTTGATGATCTGAGACAGAGAATCATCTTTAGTCAAAGTGATTTGGTGCATTTGTAAATACAGAAACTATGTATTTCTTTTAAACATCAAGTTAGGTAACACGCTTTGTTTCCATATTTCACAAGTAGAAAGAGAATACTTGCCTGCAGAGCTCTCTGTAGGTTGTCGAGCTCCCTGTGCTGACAGTGCTCCATCAACTCCAGCTGCTGCTTCTGAGCCTCGATCTCCCTCTGCCTTTGCTCCACCTCCCACTTCAGGTCCTCTACCTGAACGCGCATTCAATGTTAAGACATCAGTGTCAATGAAAGTTCTTCTCCCAGGACAATGATGAAAGACTACATGGTCAAAATGTTGTATTATAATCAATCCAGGCTAAAGACACAAAAAAGCATAATAAAATCAATATGATACAACAAAAAGCATGGTGCCCATAGCATTCGCTTTGTCAAGATTTTCAAATAACAGTCCTCATCAGCAAAATATTTCAGTGTCAGTCGGTCTCTCACCTCTTGGTTAGTGAGGGGCTGCTTGGCCAGTTCCTCGTCCAGTTGTTTCTGGAGGATCTGGAGCTGTGAATGGGCCTCAGTCAGCTCCTCTTGGAACCTGGAAACCTCCTGAGCATGCTGCTCATCCTGAGCTCTGCAGAGCAAGACACATTCAATGACAAATGAGTGATAAGATGTAATATTTTGATACAAAAGCAATTTGCCAACAGTCACTGCATTCTTTAAATCAGGCAAATACACATACTGTAGTTTGTGGGATTCACTCTGCAGAGCTTTGACTAGGTCCACTTTGGCCTGCAGGTCCTTTTTGATTTCTGACAGCTCCAGCATAGCTGCCCTGTAGTGCCGTCTATTGTGGGCCGCCTCAGCCTTTGTTGCTGCCACCTAAAGGACACATCACATTAGTACTATCCTAAAGACCCCAGGAGAGCCAAATGCTCCAGAAAAGCTATGGACTTACGATGGATACGTGTCACAATTCCGCTTTCTAACTTTTATATTTCTTAAAGGCTTCTTACTGTGCCTTGTGCCACGCAAATTATGTCAAAATATGTATTCAAATATATTCAAATTACAGGCCCTTTGGAATCATTTGAAAGGCAAAATGAAAATTATGTGCAGTCGGCATTTCAATAAAAAAGGAGAACATACTGCGTCCTTAGAGCTCCTACCTGTTCTTTCAGGTCATTGACTTTGGTTTTCTCTTTTTCCAGGGCAAGCTGAAGCGTTTGAACCACCTGCTTCATCTGCTGGTCCTCCTCCTCTTTACGCTTCAGAACAGCTTGAACCTGTAAAAAGGATGAATGGGGAAAACAACGTTTCCTTAAAAACTAATTAAAAAGTATGTGCTTTTTTGTATTTCGGCATACAGGTAACACAAGACTTTACAATAAAGAAGTAAGAAAAAAATATCAACATTATAAGTTTTTTCACCTGTAAGTTGAGCTGGACGAGATCTGCCTCTCTCTTAGCTAAGGCAGACTCCAAAATGTTGGAATGCTCCCGCAGTGTATTGTGGGACTGTGCCAATCCCGCCAATTTCCCTTTTTCATGTTCAAGCTCCAGTGCTAGCTTCTTGTTGGCATCTTCTAACTTTCGTATCCGCTTCTTGAAGCATCGGGACTCTTGAAGCTATGAAATAAATTCATGTCATTAATACAAAGTAACATGAATTGAGTGACTAGACAAGTGTTCATAAACATACTGCTCATACAGGGTTGTGGTCGACACCATTAAGGGAAAAAAATATCCCATTAGATATATGGAGCAGTTCTGTTAAAAAACCTGAACATAGCAACACAAAATGATCATTGTTCACCTCATCCTCAAGCTCCATGACCTTCTCCTGGTACTCCTCCAGCTCTGTGGAGGTGAGGTTGATCACTTCCTGCAGCTCCTTCTCTAGCATAGACTTGCTGTTGGCCACAGCCTGTAGCTCAGTCTGCAGAGTCTTAATCTTGTCCTGGATGTCAAATAAAAACACACTGCATTTCAATACATTGCAGTTGCAGGATTACTCACAATGAAAATACAAATAGCT